AATGGAGACCCTCACCTCTTGTCTATTAGCCTCCTGCAACTCTGGGTGGTAGCTGCAAACTCAATTAAAACATCTGTACTTTCCCCCCCTCTCCATTACAGCTCCTTGCTCTTAAATCCAAACAAATGGAATTGCTCCACTGCCTCGGGCTGCAAAGGCAGTTTCTGCCAGCAAATTTATTATCACCATAAAGCGCAGCTTGATTTATGTGAAAATATTAGAGCAGATCTTTATGATGGAAATAAACACTTTCTGCTGTGATTCACTCAAAGGGACGCACAAGCAGCAGAGGATTTTGGGGCTTGGACCATAAATCTGGGATCAAACTGGCATCGGGGATGGATTTGGTCTTTTGTAGCACTTCTAAGAGCAATGGGCAGGGAAAGCAAAAGAAAAACAACTTGAGCTTTTAAGTGAGGTTTGGACAAGGGTTGAGCATCACCACGGAGCTGTGTGTCACTTGGAGGGGGTTTAGCTGCAGGAAAGTTCATGGGAAGGTGCTTGTGGGCTCTTCTAGTGCTTCCCTTTCCCCTGCATGGGTTTGGGCAGCCAGGCCCTGACCCCAGGAACTGTTGGCAGCCTGGGGAAGGGTCCCCAGCCATGGGGGTGCTGAAGTGATGCCCAGGGGGCTTCATGTTGGGGTGAGGGGCTTCTTCCAGCAGCCCCCAGCTGGCTCCTGTCACCCTCTTGAGGTGCTGTGGCCCCAGGGCTCTCCCCAGCCTGTGAGGGCGATCCATGGCTACGTAGCCAGGAAGAGGGGTGTTGCACCCCAGCTGGTGTTGAGGGGGTGGATGGGACCCTGGGAAAGGTTTAATGTGGCAGCTTTACCCTGGCAGGAAGCAGGAACCAGGAGGTGGTCATGCCTGCTGCTCCCTCCAGCTTCAGATCACAGGCACCCTGCTCTCCCCAACACTTTACTGGGCCCCTATCTTTGCTGGTGGTACCATTTGTGATTTAACCAGCTGCCCCCACCCTCACTGGGGCCACTGTCTTCCCCAGAGCAGCACCAGCACATCCTTCCCATTGCAAACCTCTTCCTCGTGCCTGCCTTGTTCCCCTCTTCCTCAGCAGGATGGGTCCCACCATGCCCAGCACTGGGGACAGTGACAACAGTAAGTGCTGGAGCAGGCAGAGGCAGGGGATGAGGGGGGCCCTGCCCTGGAGGGGGGGTGTCCAGCAGCTGAGCTGGCTGTATTTCTCTTCACACATAAACAGCAGCCCAGAGCATCCCAGGGCGACACGGGTGCCAGAGCCGGCTGAATTAAAAAGTGATTGATTAGACAATTTCACCAAAAAAGAAATAATATCCCTCAGTGGTTGTTAAGTACTAAACTACCCAAGCCTGTCTTCAGAAAGCCCAGTCAGAGGGTGTTTCCAGGCTGCTGTTTCCCTGCAGGTTTGTCCCTGGTGCACCCCAGGGTGAAGTGATGCTGCAGGAGCAGCTCAGGCCTTCCTTGATCCATGGGGGGGTGGGGTGGGGGTCATGCAGGCCCCACCTGCTCTGGGCTCCTTGTGTCCCATCCAGCTCCAGGAACAGGAGAAAAAAATATATCAAAATTATGCTCTTCTGGATCAATTAGCTTATAAAGCTCATGATTATGCAAAGGCCAGCGCAGTGGCAAGGGACTTGGGTGTGGGGCACCCCTTACACTGCGTGCTGAACCCCCATCCCTGGGGCCACCTCCCCACAGCACCCACATCCCCACATCCCTTGCTGCCTTCAGCCCCCTGCACAGCAAAGTCCTTCAATAAAACATGAAGCAAATCCATTTGGCCTCTGCTGAGTCACCGGGGACATCACTAATTAATTTAAGACGTGGGTTGGGGATATTTTTTTTCCTTCTTTCCCCCCCTTTTCTGCACCAGTTTGTTCTCACAGCCCCAACCCCAGCTCAGGCTTGGCCTTGATCTCAAAGGTGCAGTGAGGTGTGATGGCTTCCTTGGGCCAAAAAAAAAAGAACAAAAAAAACCCCAAACACCCCACAATTTGGGGAAAAACTCAGCAGGGCACAATGGAACCTTTTGGGGACCAGCCTGTCACCCCTGGGGGTGTCTGGGCCACCCAGCAGGGGGGAACTGCCCCAGACAAATGTGTGCCCTGGCTTGGGGCAGCCTGGCAAGGATCCCCCAGCTCTCGGCTGGGTTTGTTTATTTATTTATGGCTTTTATTTATGTACCAGCACCTCCCTCCCTGACCACGAGGCTCTGGAGGGGCTGCCAAAGCAATTAAGAGACAATTGCGATGATAAATAAGTAACAGGGATTAAAGCTCCAACACTTCTGTGCGATGGCAGCCAGGCCTGGGGGGGGTGGTGGGGGAATTTAACCCCAGACAGATGGGTGGATGGATTGATGGACAGATGGATGAATGGACATTGCCAATGCTTTTGGTCCTGGGCCAGGCATGTCCAGGCCCTTCCTGAGCTCCCCAGGGCTTTGCAGCCATCCCTGGGGCAGGGCTGGGCATCCCAGAGCAGCTCCTGCCATTGTCCCCTCGCTGGTACCACCCCCAGCTGCTCGGTGGCTGCTTTTAAATTGGGAAAATAAAATAAATAAATGGAGCTTTGGAGCAGCTTCTTGCAGGAGGGGATGGTCATCCAGGCAGGTGCTGGTGAAACAAGCCGAACCAAGCCCGGAAGAGGTGGGAGGGGTGAGTATTGAAGCTTTGCAAAGCCCCAGCAATGCCCTGGGATGGGGCTGCTACCACCCAGCAAAGGGCTGCTGCCCTGGGCCCCCATGGCCTCAGCTCCTGCTTCCCAAAAACCCCCTCCCCTGCCTGCTGCTGCTGCTGCTGGTGAATCACAAGTGCCCCTGCCCACACCCCTGCTGTGTTTAACAGGGACATCAAGAGCAGAATTAAACCCAGCTCATCTATCACTCCTGATTTATGGCTCCATCAGCCCGGGGAAGGTGGGAGGAATGTTCTCCCTTTGCTCGATCCCAGTGGCACATCTTCCCAGGGATGCTGTGCTGCTGTGTGCAGCTCTGGGAGCATCACTTGCTGAGCCAAGCTCACACCCATGAGCCCAGCACCCCAAAGCCCAAGCAAGGTGCAGCAACTCCAGCTTTGGTCCTTCGACCCAGGTTGATTAGCTCCTCAGTAATTAATCCCCAGTGTGGATTAATGAGGTACCACTTGCCTTTGCTGCTGGGCTTACCCACATCCCCACATCCCTTGCTGCCTTCAGCCCCCTGCACAGCAAAGTCCTTCAATAAAACATGAAGCAAATCCATTTGGCCTCTGCTGAGTCACCGGGGACATCACTAATTAATTTAAGACGTGGGTTGGGGATATTTTTTTTCCTTCTTTCCCCCCCTTTTCTGCACCAGTTTGTTCTCACAGCCCCAACCCCAGCTCAGGCTTGGCCTTGATCTCAAAGGTGCAGTGAGGTGTGATGGCTTCCTTGGGCCAAAAAAAAAAGAACAAAAAAAACCCCAAACACCCCACAATTTGGGGAAAAACTCAGCAGGGCACAATGGAACCTTTTGGGGACCAGCCTGTCACCCCTGGGGGTGTCTGGGCCACCCAGCAGGGGGGAACTGCCCCAGACAAATGTGTGCCCTGGCTTGGGGCAGCCTGGCAAGGATCCCCCAGCTCTCGGCTGGGTTTGTTTATTTATTTATGGCTTTTATTTATGTACCAGCACCTCCCTCCCTGACCACGAGGCTCTGGAGGGGCTGCCAAAGCAATTAAGAGACAATTGCGATGATAAATAAGTAACAGGGATTAAAGCTCCAACACTTCTGTGCGATGGCAGCCAGGCCTGGGGGGGGTGGTGGGGGAATTTAACCCCAGACAGATGGGTGGATGGATTGATGGACAGATGGATGAATGGACATTGCCAATGCTTTTGGTCCTGGGCCAGGCATGTCCAGGCCCTTCCTGAGCTCCCCAGGGCTTTGCAGCCATCCCTGGGGCAGGGCTGGGCATCCCAGAGCAGCTCCTGCCATTGTCCCCTCGCTGGTACCACCCCCAGCTGCTCGGTGGCTGCTTTTAAATTGGGAAAATAAAATAAATAAATGGAGCTTTGGAGCAGCTTCTTGCAGGAGGGGATGGTCATCCAGGCAGGTTTAAGCTTTGCAAAGCCCCAGCAATGCCCTGGGATGGGGCTGCTACCACCCAGCAAAGGGCTGCTGCCCTGGGCCCCCATGGCCTCAGCTCCTGCTTCCCAAAAACCCCCTCCCCTGCCTGCTGCTGCTGCTGCTGGTGAATCACAAGTGCCCCTGCCCACACCCCTGCTGTGTTTAACAGGGACATCAAGAGCAGAATTAAACCCAGCTCATCTATCACTCCTGATTTATGGCTCCATCAGCCCGGGGAAGGTGGGAGGAATGTTCTCCCTTTGCTCGATCCCAGTGGCACATCTTCCCAGGGATGCTGTGCTGCTGTGTGCAGCTCTGGGAGCATCACTTGCTGAGCCAAGCTCACACCCATGAGCCCAGCACCCCAAAACCCAAGCAAGGTGCAGCAACTCCAGCTTTGGTCCTTCGACCCAGGTTGAAGGTTACCCAGTAATTAATCCCCAGTGTGGATTGATGAGGTACCACTTGCCTTTGCTGCTGGGCTTGGACCAGGGCTCAGCAGTGAAGGGAGGGCAGGGGGTGCACAGGACCACAAGCAGCCCCATGACACAGGGTAAAGCAAGGGCAGCCCTGGCCCGTTGCCAGCAGATGGAAGAAGGGTCCCCAGCCAGCTGAAAATGTCTCTTTAATGACCTGGACATGGCGTTGAGAGTCCCTCAAATGAAACCAAAAACATGACGGCAACACGGCAGCAATGAGTTTGGTGTCCTCGAGTCCCCGGCCAGCCCTGCCTGAGGGCAGAGCCCAAACCAGGGCAGCCCAGCCCCTGCCGGGCTGCTCTGACCTCCCTCCCCCCAAAAAAAAGCGCACGGGACCTGCCGAGCCGCTTGGAGCGTCCTGTGCTGGGGGTGCAGCCTCCCCGGCCTGTGGGGACACCAGGCTGAGGGCAGAGAGATCCCCCTTGTGCCCCTCTCCCCTCACACCTCTGACTCCAGGCTGGGGACCCTCCGCCAGGCCCCGCGGGCACAGGGGCTGCTCCCCCCGCGGGCCACCAGCCCGTTCCTCCTCTCCGTGCCCCCCGGCCGCAGCCGGGCCGCCTCCCTTCCGCCTCCCCCGGCCT